GGTGTCAGTATAGGTTGAGAAGCACTACTAGCATGGGATGCAATAGTTGACCTATTGTGCAGAGTTGGTGAACTATTAGAGTTAATGATTGTAGCAAGATGAACTGATCTATTTCAGAAATCAACAAAATTAAATTTCTCAATTCACATTTCATGTTTTTGCAGTAGATATTGTGCCTTTTGGATTGTAACAGAATCAAACTTGGATTCTACTCTAGATGTCAAATTTACAACAGCAGCGTCAAATTATGGTCCTAAACCATCAAGAATATGCTGAAGCAAATCTTCATCAGAGACATCTTGGCCACTAGAGTTTAGGCTTTTTGCAATACCTTTCATCTTCTTAAAGTAATCACAGATAGACAAGTTCCCTTCATGAGTGTTCTGTAATAAATGTTTAAGGTGTAGAGCTCTAGCCTTTGAGTCACTTAAAAATTCATTTTCAAGTGCAAACCAAATATCAGTGGAAGCTTGACACTTAGATACCGAACTAAACATACATTCAGAAATGGAGGCCAACAACCATGTAACAAGGAATTTATTAGTACATTTCCAAGCTAGATAAGTTGGATTAATGCATTCTGTAGTACCAGATTCATTCAATTTTGGTTTAGATGTTGACCTAACTACATTTTCTTCAACTAGAATTTTAGGTTCTGACGAAATTAAAGGTTCAGGACAGGGGATACAACCTGTTAAGTGACCATCAAGATCATGAGCACCTACTGTAGAAAGAATTTGTGACTTCCAAAACTGATAATTATCACGGTAATCATCGTGTGTGAGCTTGGGAGTAACCACTTGAAGACTGGACGAAAATGTTGAAGAGTAAGTGACTGAAGTGTTCTGCATCACTTTGTTCAGATTGTTGTTCGAAGTATTAGAGGATGAAGAATTCGCCATTGATGCTAGTCTTTGGCTCTGATACCATGAAAGACTTTGGAGGAGAAGTCAAAAATCTTAGAGAGAATTGAGAAAGACAAATACAATTTTTCTTCTTTCTTTCATTAACTAACTAACGAACAAAGAGTCACATGTTTTATACATTTGAGAAGAAGCAGGAAAAGTAATGTAAAAGTGACAGCACTTTGATGCTAAATGACATGAAGAGACAGCAGTTCTTTGGTGCCTTTGGTGAGCTAACAACGGTGACAAAAATCTAGTAAAAACGGAACCACTTTTGCTTCTTGTCAATACTGCCAATACTAACATATAATTTCTTTACACTGAGCATGAATTAATTAACAACTAACATATAATTTCTTTATACTAACCATGAACTAAGAGTTTAATAACTAATTTTGTTTAAATTGACCAGGGCATGAACTAGCCAATTAAGAACTACATTTCTTTAACTAATAGAACTAATCTCTATAAACTGAGCTGAAATCTTCATAAAGTGATCTTCTTATACGATCCTAAGAAGCAAATATCATACCAAGAATTCATTGATATGGAAATTCCACTTACCATAATCATATGTTTACTCATTACTCTCTCAAGTACCCATTTCACTTTAATCGCAATTATTAACAACACCACCACCATGAAACCTAAACAATTGGTGTTCGAACTTCTCCACCAAGATTTCATGTCACACAACACTAATCACACCAATCAAGATCGTGCTAAACACATTCTAAATCCTTCTGAAACTCAAGAAGCTCAAGCTAATTTAATACTTTTTCTACAGAGGATTTTTTGTAAATTTCACTATTGGTGAGCCTTCCGTTCCACATCTACATGGGTTACTTAGGACCCTTATATGACAAATATACGCGGAATATATTATAAACCAAATTACAACCCCTATAGCTCTTCCACATATTCTGAAGTTCCATGTGGCCAAGTTGTCTATAGCTCTTGCGACTATAGTACGCAATTGATGCATTTATAGAATCAACATGCAGGGATAGTCCAATGGACAACTTGCTATTGGGCAATTCGAATTTGAAAATATAGATAAAGGCAATATTACTATAAGTGATGTGGTTTTTGGATGCAACCATAACAACAGAGACGGTGAAGAAGAAATTTATTATGAAATGTCTGATTGGATGGAGTCATCGGAGGTGTTGGTGATCAACAGGTTATATATGGAGAGGAAGATACTCAAGTACTCAATGGAATTTTTGGACTTGGTAGTCGAAAACGTGCCTTGTCTCTTCTTCATAGATTTGGTTTAAAAATTTCCTATTGCATTGGTAATAATCTCTACTGCCTTAAAGAGTTGATGTAGGTAATCAATTGATTACTGAACCACTATAACTCTGTGTGTTACTTTATCAGTTTTCTTTTATGCTCTTTTGATTTCTCATATATGATTGTTTGTGTTCTTGCTGAATTAGAAACTTAGGAATCTGATTTACTCTAATTCAATCAGTCTTGAGTCCTACAGTCTTACGATCCTTCCCATTCTTCCACATACGTCGATTATCCTTGTCGTTACGACGTTTGCAACATTTGCACTATAAAAATAAGTGCATGTACCAAATTTCATATGTAGATGATACCAACTCAATTGGAAAATTTGCCACTAAGCAATTCACATTTGAGACATTAGATGAGGGCACAACCATAATGAAAGATGTAATCTTTGGTTGTAGTACAAGCCACAAAATTCACGGTGACCATCGACAACCAGTAGGACTGTTCGGACTTGCTAGTCAAACACCTACCATATCTATTTCTAATAAATTTGGCTTTAGATTTTCGTATTGCATTGGCAATATATCTAATCTAGAATATAGCCATAACAAATTAATATTAGGTGACGATATTGTACTTGAAGGCGATTCAACCGCTCTCAATTTCAATAAAGGGTTGTATATATTATGTTACTCTTAAAGGGATTAGTGTTGATGACAAAATGCTTGATATAGATTGTAATACATTCAAGAATGATAGCGACGAAAGTCAAGTAACAATTGACTTTAGTATTATAGAGACTTGGCTAGTCACAAAGGCATATCGAATTCTTTAGGAAGAAATCGAGCATCGCCTCGAAGGGTTCTCAGTCACAAAGTCTCGAACAGTATATAAATGGCAATTGTGCTACTATGGATCTTCAAGGGTTTCCAGAGGTCACATTACATTTTGCTAATGGGGCTAATTTAGTTTTGGGTGAGTGGAGTATATTTATACAGATAAATATGTCAATGTTTTGCTTGGCTTTTGGTCTAGGTGAACAACATAATGAAGACTTCCACAACTTGAATGTGATAGGACTTCAAGCTCAACAATTTCATAACGCAGCTTTTGATGTTGTGGGGGATAAGTTTTATTTTCTAAGAATTGATTGTGATCTTCTTGAAAATTAACTATATTAATAGAGATAATATTGTTTTAAGAGAATTGATAAATTTCATTCATCTAATATTCTCATTAAATCTAGGTTTTTGAAGCTTTTAAAACTTATACGAGATGAACTATTTTACTTGGTATTAATTATATTATACGGACTTTTCAATATGAACAAGTTGTAAAATTTTAATATTATTTTAGCATTGATAATGAGATCAATGTGACCAGTAGCTGAACCAGTAAACACTTACTTGGCTAATTTTATATTGTTATATTTTTTAAATAATTGGCTAATTAGGAATAATTTATTATAAAAGTAATGATGCATGTACAAATTAATTATACAAATAATTACTTACAGCTCTACATGTTTAACATGTCAACTATTCTAATTTATTTAATTTATCTCTAATTTAAAATGACTCAATCACATTTAAGCAAACATCAGTTTGTACAATAAGTAATATAATTAATTATCCAATCATATTTTTCTACGTTGCTTTACATGCAAGATTTTGTATAAACTATATGTAATATTATTCTATTCAAATTAGGAGGTAGTAATAATAACCCTTATCTCATTAGGTTAAAAAACCAAGCATAACAATTATATATACTATTTTACTATCTAAATTTATATTCCATTTCTGATTTCGGCATCGTTGTGACCCTACATCACTACCGTTCTCCTCCTCGATTATTACTCATCAAAACCCTTGAACCATATTCCTGTCGACCTTGTTAATCGCCGATAATCGAGCGATTACGGTTTGCGCAACCTTCATTCTCAAATCAAATTCTGATCAATCTCAACCGTCAAAATCCAACCCTCTACCACCAAAAGACTCATTGGTCTCCTCTCTTTAAAAGTTCTAATAGTTTGAACCGAGTTTGCTCTGTGTTTACTATTGAAATATAAATTTAGATAGTAAAGTGACACTTTAAAAGTCTATAGGTAGAAAAGTGTCATTAAACCGGAAAAGGTCGTTACCTCCACATTTTACACACTATATAAATGTTGAATAGGCCATAAAGTTTTGACCAATTATTGTTTGAATGAAATAAAAGAATGAATGGGAGAATAAAGAACACTGAACATTGTACCCACCCGAGGTCCAGATGCGCCTATTTTAATTAGGTCAGTCTCCCATTCAAACTTTTAGTTTATTTTATTGTATTTTCTAATTCCTCTTTGTCCATATTTGACCAAGTTTTATAGAAAGATAATGAATTTTTCTTTAGTAAATTATAGAAAATTTTCGTCACCTTTTCCTAAATTTCTTTTAGCGGGAGAAAGAGAGAGGAAGAGAGCGGCAAGAGAAAAGACGAAAATAAGAAAAGAATGGAGAGGGTAATAAATTTACTTTTAATAAATGAGTTGAAAGAGAATGATGTGTTATGTACATTTTTTTTTTTTATCTTTATTAAAACTATTTTGATTACATGATAAGACAAAAATAGAATTTATTATATGCAAGTTCTTGTAATAGCCGTTAGTTTTAGGGGAGAATTGTAATTTAATCTTAACGGTTGGGATTCTACTATTATATTTATAGAACCTGTGGGTCTAAGTTAATTAGGCTAAACCTTACGAACGTTCATGTTTTAAAGCCCTAACATAATTATGATTGAACAATATATGCTACTCTTATACATTGAACAATGCCCCAATCTTTACTACTTAATTGTGGGAAAGAATATGTAACCATTTCTCATTTTCTATAAATGAAATTTAATCATTTAATCCCATAGGCGTTAGGAAATTCCTTTCACGGGGAATTGAAAACAATATGAACTAAAAGAAAGAAAAAAAAAAAAAAAAAAAATCACACTAGCAGAGTGGAAGAGGGGCACCATTCCAGTCTGTGAGGCACTCTAGCATTGGATCAATGATCTTACCCTGGCACATAGCTGTGAATACTTTATCAAATTCCTCTCCTGGTGACTTTACTTTCTCACCAGTTAAGAATCCTGTTCCTAGCTCTTCCCTCACAAACTTGTACAATGGATAAGATCTGCATTCTTTGATCCTGTTGGGAACTGCTGCATTTCCATTCTCAACCACAATTCTGGCACTCTCCACCTCTTTAGGCAAAACGGCCTTCAATTCCTCCTCAAAAGCTCCAATCTTCTGGAAGATTGAAGAGTTCACATTCTTCTCCTTTTCGCCGTTGTTCAATGCATGATCAACAAGTACTTGTCTTAGCTTTTGCATCAATGGATAGGTGGCACTGCAGGGATCATCTATGTAAGCGAAAACGTGTTCGCGATCAACCACTTTGATCAGATCTTTCTCACTGAATCTTGATGGGTGAAGTTCTCCGTTTGCTCCAATAGTTAGAACTTTCTTAGCCACTAGGCTCACAGTGCGATTAACTGTGTTCTTCAAATTCTCCTCCAAGTGCCTCAGATCAATGGCTTGGCAAAGTGCTACCAAGTATGTAGAAGACATAAGCTTCAAGATGTCAACAGCTTCAGCAGTTTTTCTTGAAGAGATGAGTCCCAAGGAGTTCACGTCTTGGTTGTGTTGCTCGGCACTTTGGACATGGCTGGTGACTGGATTGGCGAGGTATTGGAGCTCAGAACAATACGAAGCCATGGCGATTTCAGCACCCTTGAAACCATAATCCAAGCTTGGATTTCTGCCGCCAGAGAGATTTGATGGCAACCCATTGTTGTAAAAGTCGTTGACAAGCTCCGAAAATTGGGCAAACATAAGTTTTCCAATCAATGCAATAGCCAAACGTGTATTGTCCATTGAGACACCAATTGGGGTCCCCTGGAAGTTGCCTCCATGTAAAGCCTTGTTCCTTGAAACATCGATCAGAGGGTTGTCATTGACGGAGTTGATCTCCCTTTCAATTGATTTGGTTGAAAATCTGATAACTTCAATCAGTGGGCCAAGCCATTGTGGTGAAGTCCTGAGGGCATAACGATCCTGTTTCGGCTTTTGAAGAGGATCCATCTCGTGCAATTTTTTGGCAGCTTTAACATACGAACTGCCATCTAAAATGTGTTCCATAATTGCTGCAGCCTCAATCTGGCCTGGATGGTGCTTTAACTTGTGTGTCAAATGGTCAGTGAATTCAGGCTTCCCCTGCATCACTTCCGCGAAAATTGCTGACAAAATTTCGGATAATACACCAAGAACATTAGCCTCAAAAAGAACCATTGAAGCCATTCCAGAACCAACAGCAGTACCGTTCACAAGAGCAAGGCCTTCTTTAGGCTGCAACTCAAACAACTCAAAACCGGCGAGTTTAGAGGCTTCTTGAGCATTAATGACTTCTCCCTTAGGTCCGGTGGCCTTGGAATTGGGGCGACCGGTAAGTAATCCGGCAATGTAAGACAGAGGAACAAGATCACCGGAGGCAGTGATTGTGCCGCGAAGTGGGAGGCATGGAGTAATTTTGTTATTGAGAAGACTGGTAATTGCTTCCAGGATTTCAAATCTGATTCCAGAGTAGCCCTGGAGAAGAGTGTTAATCCTCACAAGCATGGCTGCTCTTGTTGCGGAGTGAGGCAGTGTGTGGGACGACTCTGTTCCATTACCAAAGATTCCGGCATTCAAGAATCTAATGAGCTCCTTCTGAAGAGCGCCACCGTTCTTGGTTCTTCTATGGGAAGTTGCGCCGAAACCAGTGGTGACACCATAACTATCAGTTCCATTGTTCATGCTCTCCATGACCCAATCACTGCTAGCCTTAACACCATCTCTGGCTGATTCTGAAAGCTCAACTTTGACGCCAGACTCATCGGTTGCAATGGCAGCCACCTGAGCTATCGTCAAAGTCTCACCACCGAGCTTCACCACCGGCTTCCTGTACTCGGCCACCATACGCTTCACTTCCTCCAAATGACTCCCTTTAAGACCCTCGGCCACCAATCCCCAGTTCAAGGGATCAGTAGAAGCCGTGCACAAACTCTTAAGACTCCCGTTTTCGTGAACGTTCATTGCAGCTGCTTCCATTGCTTAATTTACTCTGTATAAAACAGACAAATACTAAAAGAAAGAGAAGAGGAAGACTCAGAAAGAGTGCTGATAAGCTTTGGTGCTTACAGTGAAATCTGTAAATTAATGTTAAGGATGCTGTTGCTGAGGAAAAGAGAGAGAGAGAGTGAAGGTGTATATATAGAGAAAGAGAGAGACGTGGTTGTGTTGTAGTAAGTAATAGGTGCTGGTTGGTGAAACATAAGAAGTCGCAAAAGGAAATTGCGGGGTAGGTTGAACTTGAAAAGAGATCTGAGCCGTTGAGGAAGTGGAGATGGGAGGGTAGAGATTGTGGTGGTGGCGTGGACTAAGTAAAAGGGAAGAAAGAGTAATATTGAGCGGAAGGGATTGGTCAAGAATGGGATAATACCAGCTTAATTGATTTTTTATTTTGTCTCAGGTCGGTTCTTCACATCATCAGCATATGCTAATCATAATGGATTTTCAGTTAATTAATTATTCATGTTATTAATTCACATAATTAATTCATGTTAATAAATGATTCAAATTTATTAGGAAATTCATGCTATTAATTAATTTACGTTTATATTCGCATTAATGACAGTTAATAATTAACGCGTAGTTGATACAGTCAATGATCAATTTTCAAATAATAATTTTTGAATTATTTATTTTAAAGATCAAATGAGACAAATATATATATATATTCTCTTTGAAAATACATTTAACACAAAATTAATATGATAATGTACTAATAGGGGGTGGTCGTTGTCCTACTATGGCTCTTATCTCACCGGTAATTCTAAGACTAAAGGATTAGTTAAAGTGAATGCAAAATGACTCGGACACTCCCAATAATAAAAAAAATGATAATATATATATAGACTGCATTTTTCGTAAAATGAATCGTCCATACATATATTCATCTAATTAGTTGAATTAATTATACAAAATCACGCGTCTATATAAAATATGTTTGATGCATATATTTCACAATATACATAAGTTGAATAGGCCATCAAGTTTTGACCAAAGAATAGGAGAACTAAGAATACTAAACGACGCGCCCTCCCATTCAAACTTGGCTAATTATTTAGTGTTTTCTAAGACCCTCTTCATAAATTTAAACGTCGTAAGATTTATCTACATTTGACCAAATTTGATGTAAACATAACGAATTTTTCTTTAGTAAATCATGTCATGCTAATAACAATAACAACTACCATAACTATGATGTTAGTAGTTGAAACTTATAATTTATTTATTTATTTAACGAATTAATTTAGTTTACTTTGTGGAAAACCCTTCTTCTGACTTCTCGTTAGTGGGCATGTGCATGGTTGTTGTAACAGGATAAGCCATCCCTTACACTAAACTAATTAAGTTGTATTTTCATTAGTTTTATTTGCTACTTTTACTCTAACCCAAAGTCCAACTCAACCTTAGCAATGGACTGAAATTATTGACCCAAATTTAAACACAAACACATCCGTCTAAGCTTATAATAAATAAATAGAAGAATAAAGAAAGTGTTGACCATTCAATTGGTCAAGTTGAAATATATGAATATCAAGTTGGTGGATTAAGTTGAGAAATCACTAGACATTTATTAAAATAGGTAGCTTATTCTAATACTCTCAAGATTCAATAAATTAAAGAGCATATGATTAAGCATTTCTAATGCAATTTGCATGGATACGTAGGATTTTGTGAAGTTTTGGGATGGATGAAAAATAAAAAATTCAATTATTCATACATGTTAAAAGCTTATTACTATACACTTAATTATCATATACCCTTTTTGTCTACAAAGATGTTAAAACTTTGGCCGCCTCATGCGGCCAAACGACACATCGGAATTTGATGATACATTGGATTCTGACAGATCGATAGTTTCTGGTACTTTTTGAATTAAATGTGGTGTCAAGGCACCACCTTTGACCATTGTTGACAGCCTATCAATGGTGGTTGACAATTGATTGTCGTTGATCAATGAGGGGCAGTGAATTGTATTTTTGTAATTATTAATTTTAATAATTTATTTATTGTAAATTATTTTAATAAGTGATGAACGTTTATTAAATTTAATTTTGTAGTTTGAAGAATTATATATAGGTATATTTGTCATTTTACAATGTAAATTCAACTATAGAAATAATCCGATTTTTAGAAGCTAATTATCCTAGCTTTTAGAATTCTTTTATAAAGTTGATTATTTTATAATCATCTTCAAACTTGATCTATTTTAAAAGTTGTTTACAAAACATTTTTTCTTTATTGTAGCTTAAAAGATACTTGATTATTTCTATAGACGGTAAAATCTACTCGGAAATCCTTTAGATTTAGTCGTGTGAGGAATGAGCCACTGACAACTTCTTAAACCTGCAGAAAGACACAGAAAGTGAATGTGAAGCACTTGGGAACACCAGCGTGGTATCGACCGTAGGCAGTCTGATGCTCAAGTCAGTAGGATTGTGACGGGAAATTGAGCATAAAAGGGTAAGCGATTACCTTGTTTATGGAGCTAGGCACGACTATCGTCGTAGAGTGGCCGGAGGTCGGCTCTAGGACGACAGACGGTAGGTAAAGAACTAGTGGGGGAATTGTGTATACTATACGAGTATTCATTAAAATTGGATTGGTGGAAACTGAAATCGATGGAAGTTGAATGAATTTCCGAGAGGACTAACCCCTCTTTTATCGGAAGCCAGGAAGGCTTAATCCTTGTAGAAGTCAGAGTACTAGTTGCATGAAACTAGGAATACTTAGGGAAGATGAATTCAAGTAAGATCGCAATTCCAAGATATTGGAATCGCTGTAGGACTCAAGGTCCTTGGTTGTTAGAATCTAAATAGGACTTGGAAGTCGTTGTCTGGCAGAGTTCGCATAAAACTCAAAGTCTTGTGTGTGCTAGACACTCGTTAGATTTAGAAATCTATAAAGAGTTAGGATGAGATTCGGAGACCTTGGGATGTTAGAATCCTCTCAAGACTCTAAGTCTTTGAGGGAGATTGCAGTCACTTTGAGTAGACTAGCCCGCAGACGAACCTAAGATCCGTGGTCGGAAAAGGCCTTACTGACGCACGACCGACCAGATCCCGTCAGTCGTGTACCATTACCATGACTGATGTCAGCGGCCGGCGATGGTGAGTAACGACCGACGATGGTCTTAGGTGGCTGGGGGTATTTTGTTAACTTTTAAACTTTTTGTGGCTGGGCTCTTTTATCTAAATTCTCAAATGTATGAGGGCTGGGTAATGGTTATTTGGTAGACATTTGAGGGCAATTATGTTCAAAATGATATTGAATTAAGGGCAAAATATGTATAAAAATCAAATTACCTCGTAATTTTTTAATAACAACCCTATGGGAGGGTACCAGATTACCCTCTACATTACTAACAGTAAACACTATTTCCAATAAAAAATACCCGTAATATTTTATGATTTGCAAATCAAACACCGAAATCTTGCAATTGCAAAATAAACGAAGATTACCCTAGTTATCTTATATGCCCTCATCCAAACGCACCCTTTACTTAATTGCCCATAAACTACTCTTTGGGTTAGTCTATAAGGTGTTCAACACAAGTCCCGAGTAAGCACAAGTGCACACTAACCTTGGTTCTGGGTTTGCGGTCAACACATTTAACATTTTAATTATCATAATTAACTAAATTAATTTTTTCATTTTCCCCACATTATTTTTCTTTCATGCATATATATTTTTTCTTCTCTAATCAATATTACATAATTTATCATGATTTTAATCATATTGAAGTAGATAGAAGTAGAGATACTTTTATAATGAATGAGGAAATTAGAAGGGTTTTAGCTAGGAGTTTACACTATTAATCCATCATTTTCATCTGCATAATTTTTATAAACTAATCTTAGCTAAGATTCTTATTAATCTTAAGTACAAACACACTTTCATACCAAACATGAACTGACTAATTACCAACTAACATATAATTTCTTTATACTGCGCATGAACTAATTAACAACTAACATATAATTTCTTTATACTAACCATGAACTAAGAGTTTAATAACTAATTTTGTTTAACCAAGGCATGAACTAACCAATTAAGAACTAACTTGCTTTAACTAATAGAACTAATCTCTATAAATTGAGCTAAAATCTTCATAAAATGATCTTCTTATACAATCCTTTAAACCTAAGAAGCAAATATCATACCAAGAATTCATTGATATGGCAATTCCACTTACCATAATCAATTGTTTACTCATTACTCTCTCAAGTACCCATTTCACTTTAATCGCCATTATTAACAACAACACTGCCATGAAACCTAAACAATTGGTGTTCGAACTTCTCCACCAAGATTTCATGTCACACAACACTAATCACACCATTGTGCCATACAACACAAATCAGACCAATCAAGATCGTGCTAAACACATTCTAAATCCTTCTGAAACTCAAGAAGCTCGAGCTAATTTGCAACTTTTTCTAGAAAGGATTTTTTTTGTAAATTTCACTATTGGTGAGCCTCCCGTACCACATCTAAATGGGTTACTTACGAGCCTTATATGAAAAATATACGTGGAATATATTATAAACCAAATTACAACCCCTACAGGTCTTCCACATATTCTGAAGTTCCATGTGGCCAAATTGTCTACAGCTCTTGCCACTATAGTAATTGATGCATTTATAGAATCAACATGCAGGGACAGTCCAAGGGACAACTTGCCATTGAGCAATTCACATTTGAGAATATAGATGAAGGCAATATTATTATAAGTGATGTGGTTTTTGGATGCAACCATAACAATAGAGACGGTGAAGGTGAAATTCATTATGAAGTGTCTGATTATGGATGGAGTCGTCGGAGGTACTGGTGATCAACATGTTATATATGGAGAGGAAGATACTCAAGTAGTCAATGGAATTTTTGGACTTGGTAGTCGAAAACATGCCTTGTCGCTTCTTCATAGATTTGGTTTTAAAATTTCCTATTGCATTGGTAATAATCTCTACTGCCCTAAAGAGTGGATGTAGGTAATCAATTTATTACTGAAGACAATATAGGAGAAGAGGATGTAGTAATTAAAGAATGTCGAGTAGAATCAGATTTGGCAGACAAACAATATTGATCAGAGTGGTGATTATAGGTATTTAGTGATGAT